CGAGTCCCGATTTTGGGGGGGAAATTCCCGATTTTGGGGAGGAAATTCCCGATTTTGGGGGAAATTCCCGATTTTCATGACAATTCCCGATTTTGGGGGGAAATTCCCGATTTTTGGGGATTCTCCCGGTTTTTTTGGGGGGTGGATTTCCCTGTTTTTAGGGGTTTCCTGGTTTTCCGTGAGGTTTTTCCCAATTTTTTGGGTGGATTTCCCTGTTTTTTACGGGGTTTTCCTGAATTTCCAGGGGTGGGGACAGACACGGGGACAGGGGGACAGCGGGATTTGGGAATATCAGGATTTGGGGACAGCGGGATCTGGGAACGTCGGGATTTGGGGACATCGGGATTTGGGGACATTGGGATTTGGGGACATTGGGATTTGGGGACACCGGGATTTGGGGACATCGGGATCTGGGGACAGCGGGATTTGGGGACACAGGGACATCGGGATCTGGGAATATCGGGATCTGGGAATATCGGGATCTGGGGACACCAGGCCTCCAGGCCCTGCCAGGCCGCAGGGACAAGGACACGTTTAGGGACATCGGGATTTGGGAACACCAGGATTTGGGGACACAGGGACATCGGGATTTCCACCGCAATCTGGGGACACCAGGCCTCCAGGCCCTGCCAGGCCGCAGGCGCGGGGACAAGGACACGTTTGGGGACACCAGGATTTGGGGACATCGGGATTTGGGGACATCGGGATTTGGGGACATTGGGATCTGGGGACATCGGGATCTGGGGACACCAGGCCTCCAGGCCCAGCCAGGCCGCAGGGACAAGGACACGTTTGGGGACACCGGGATTTGGGGACATCGGGATTTGGGGACGTCGGGATTTGGGGACACCAGGATTTGGGGACACGGGGACATCGGGATTTGGGGATATCAGGATCTGGGGACACCAGGCCTCCAGGCCCTGCCAGGCCGCAGGCGCGGGGACAAGGACACGTTTGGGGACATCGGGATTTGCACGTCCCGAGGCTCCAGGACATCGGGATTTACACCGGGATGGGGACGCTGGGATGGGGACAGGGGGCTGGGGACACCGGGATTCGGAAATATCGGGATTTGGGGACATCGGGGACACGGAGCCCCAGGCCTGGCAGCGGCGATGGCGCAGGGACAAGGACACGGGGACAGCGGGATCTGGGGACACTGGGATGGGGACACAGGGACATCGGGAACTGGGGACATTGGGATTTGGGGACACTGGGATTTGGGGACATTGGGAACTGGGGACATCAGGATTTGGGGACATCAGGATTTGGGGACACGGGGCCATCGGGATTCGGGACCTCAAGGACATCGGGATTTGCAGGGCCCAGCGGCGCTGCTGGCACGGGGCCGAGGTGGCAGTGACACGCGGGGGACACTCGTGACACACTCGGGGGACACTCGGGGACACTGGTGACACGCGGGGGACACTCGTGACACACTCAGGGGACACACAGAGGACAATCGTGACCAGCGTGACACGCTCAGGAGACAATCGTAACACGCTCGTGACACGCTCGGGGACACTCGTGACACACCCAGGGACACTCGTGACACACCCAGGGACACTCAGGACGCGCAGGGGACACTCGTGACACGCTCGGGGACACTCATGACACACCCAGGGACACTCAGGACACACTTGGGGACACTCATGACACACTTGGGGACACTCGGGACACACTTGGGGACACTCGGGACACACTTGGGGACACTCGTGACACGCTCGTGTGTGGCCTGGGTGACGCAGGAGCCTCAGCATGGCCGGGG